GCACGGCACGGCTGGCACTCACCATGATGGCGATGTAGTGGCGGCAGTCGAAGGGCAGAGGACCGTCCATGTGGAGGAGGTAATGCTGCATCCGGAGGAAGCTGTCCAGGTATTGTGGGTGGTAGCCCATCTGCTGGGTGATGGCCTCCAGGCGCCCACGGCTGGCCAAGGCTTTCACAAAGAGCAACTGGGGGGTCCTCTCTTTGTCGCTGGCGCTCATCTTGGCCCCCTGGACGAGGGGAGAGAAGACGGAGGAGGAGAGGAGGAAAAATGAGAGAGGTGTGAACTGGGAGGTTCACAACATTAAACAAACAATACAGTTAAAAGCGTACAAGAACGGTACAATGAAATAGAATTCATTTTGGATGGTGATAGCCACGAAAAAGCGAATACGGCTGCATCCAGACTGCAGAAACAATCCAGGATGACCCCGCTTTAATGGCCATGGCTCCATGTAATGAAATTCTGGGGACTATAGTTTGTTGTGGCGCCAGAGCCCACATTTGGAGAAGGGTCAATGTCTCACAGAACTACAGTTCCCATAATTCCATACCACTGAGCCATGGCCATAAAAGTGGGGTCAACCTGGATTATTTCTGCAGTGTGTTATGGACCTCTGTCTCCATCCAGCAAGGATTATGATGGTCCTTTGTGGCTTGGGGGGCTTCTTTTTGGATTTTAGAGACCCTCTTTCCTTCCCTGCCACGTTGCCTTCTTCTAGGATCAGTGGCTCCCAAACTTTGGTCCTCCAGATGTTTTGGACCTCAGCTTCCAGAATCCCTCACCGTTGGCCAAGCTACCTGGGGCTTCTGGGAACTGAAGTCCAAAACACCTGGAGGACCAAAGTGTGGGAACTACTGTTCTAGATGTTCCATGGTAGCTTTAAATCAATGGTTCCCAAACTTTGGTCCTCCAGATGTTTCGGACTTCAGCTTCCAGAATTCCTCACTGTTGGCCAAATTGGCCAGAGCTTCTGGGGGATGATGTATGAAACATCCGAAGGACCAAAGTTTGGGAATCACAGTTCTAGATGTTTCATGGTAGTTTTAAATCTGTGGTTCCCAAACTTTGGTCCTCCAGACTTCAGCTTCCAGAATTCCTCCAAACTCTCTGGGGCTTCTGGGAACTGAAGTCCAAAACACCTGGAGGACCAAAGTTTAGGAACCACTGTTTTAAATAATAGCAATACTAGGAATGCAGGGACTGAAGGAACATTTCGTGGAGGGAAATGCAGACTTCTTATTTGGGGAGCAATGCCCCCCGAGGCTGCAAGGAGGTTGGGGCGAAGGGAGAGGAGAGGAGGGATGGGGTGCCTTTGGGTCTCCCCAAAACTGAGTCAGACTTTTCTTATTTGGTTTATTGCAAATGCACCGCAAAGGGCCATCTTCTGTGCATCCCTTGGCTCACTTGCTAGAGATGGAGTTAGAGAGGAGGAAGAGGAGGAGGAGGAGGAGGAGAGTGGAAAATCACTCGGCCCTGAAAATCCAGGCAGAGTTTCCCTTTTCCATTCCTTAAAAACTCTTTCGGGGCCTTAAAATAACATTCCTACGCACAAACATTTTAAAAAGCAACATTAGGAAGCGGTCAGGGAAGTGCCAAAGAGGGACCGCAGTCCTCCTTCAAGGGAACTTTTTAAGAGATGACGCCTCCTGTCCCACCTTTGAGTTTCTTCAGAATGGGTTTGCCATGGCCATCCTCTGAGGCTGAGAGAGTGTGACTTGCCCAAGGACACCCAGTGGGTTTACATGACCCGGGGGGGGGGGAATCAAACCCTGGCCTCCAGAGTCGTAGTCCAACACTCAAACCACGCTGGGTCTTTGAAACCCTATTATTATTATTATCATTATTATTATTATTATTATTATTATTCGACCTGCGTCTCCGAATGGACAACAATTCAAATACAATTATCTGGAACAAAGCGCAAGGAATTATTTTAAAAACTGGCTCAGTTGGGAGGGGGGAGGGCTTGCTTTTTTGTGCATTTTTAGTGCATTTTGAAAGCTGCCCCAAAGGGTCCAAACTGGGT